AGAGGAGGGGGTGTGGGGCTGGGGGTGGTGGAGGAGCAGGAGGTGAGGAGGGGTGGAGAGGAGAGTGAGCTGAGGTGCAGGTGTGGGGACTGGAGGGTGCTGCTGATGGGGTCAGACTGGAAAATAATGGAGACTGGGTGGGTTATTGCCAGTGGGACACAGGGGCTGTGGTTCTGGGCTGTCTGTGGGGCTGGATGTTCCTTAAATGCCACAGGCAGGGGAGCGTGGGGGCTCTCCTGGGCTGCTGCTGCATGCAGGGGAAGCTGTGGTGTGGTTCAGCTCCCAGGCAAGGCAGAGGGCTGGGAACTGATCCGTGGGTTTTGTGGAAGAGAGGGTGCTGAGGTGGCCAAGCATCAGGCACTGGTGTTCAGTGGGTTTCAGGAGTTGTCTGTGCCCGGATCGGAGGAGATGTCAGGATCCCCTCTGTCCTGGGAGCCTATGGCTCCAAACTTCACTTGCTCTGCGATTATTTTTGACTCAGCAACATCTATAACATTTTCTTTCCGAGTAGCTTTAAAATAATGGAGTTCCTGTTTTTTCTGAGCACTTCACTGACCTTTTCTTACCTCTTTGTGGTGTCAGTTGCAGCAGAAATGGATTCCCAGGAGATCAAAGAGCTGCAGCAAGAAGTGATGGAGGAGCTGGGAATCTCCATGGAGGAGCTCCAGGATATCATCGACAAAGAGCTGGAGAAGTTTGAGTGCGTGAAGCAGAGGAAGCAGCAGCTGGAGGAGCTGGAGGAGTGCGTGAAGCGGAAGGAAGAAGAGGTGGCTCACGTTGACCGGCTCTTTGATGACGCTTCGAGGTGGGCGCACTTGGAATCGCAGCCACGTGTTGGAGTTGGGCTGCGGAGGAGAGGAGGGGGAGGTCATTTGATGAGTGCTGCCCATTTCTTTCCTTTAGCTGTGGACTGGTGCTGTGATTCTGCATTGGTTCACTCGTGTGGTTATTGAGGGCCAATTAAAATTATTCCCCTGTGGCTTTAAATCCTCCACCTGAACACTCTTCCCTCACCTCATCATGGTTGTATTTAATTAGCAGCTCCCCAGCAGTCAGCTCCTGTTTCTTTCTGTGGTGGTGTGGGGCAGAGAGCTGGGCTCACTTTGTCTTTTCTTGTCTCTGCCCTTTTTTTACCCCTAGAGAAATTAATGAATGCGAGGCGTTGGTGAAGAATCTGTACTCCACGCTGGGCCTCCAGTATCGTGAGAGCAGCTCTGAGGACGAGGATGTGGCTGCCAAGGCCCCGGAAGTGATTGAGATCCCTGATGAGGATGACGACGATGTCATGAGTATCGATTTGGGCTGGAAGCACAGTTCAGTACCTTCTTGTGCTGCGTGGTACCGAGGGGAGGGATGGAGATCTGAGCGTGTCCTGGAGGAGGATGGGAATGAGGGGGATCAGAATAAGGATATCATAAATTTGGCCATAAGCCATGCTGGTCTGTAAGGAGGAAAGGATCAGGGAGGAAATGCCGTTAACTCATGAGGAACATCAGTGCTTGCGTGGTCTGCCAGGGCCTGTAACTGTTCTGTGGGTCCTGGAGTCCCAAAAGGGGACTTTTCCCTTTTCCCACCTGCCTGCTTGATGTCCCTGTGGGGAAACTGCCTGTGCAGTGTGTAGTGCATCTTGAAAGGGGGGCTTAGTAAAAGCCTTGCTTGAGTGGATTTCTTGACAGAGACAGACAAGTTGCATGAATGGATGCATTTCCCTGTTCCCTCTTCTTTCAGTGACTTAACCAGGATGGCTTTTTTCCCTCCCCAAGGTGTTTTAAACCCCTTCTTTTCTCTTTAAATGCAGGCACTAGTAGTCCCAGAATCACAAAGGATCAGACTCTGGTGAGTTGGGAAAGGCCTGGCTACAGTGGGGTTTTGCTGGAACGCTTAGGACAGCATTGTATTTGGTGAAGAACAGCAAAGGTTCTTCATATTTTCTTTCTCTTTCCTTTCCTTCAGCTGCGGGAAGCCATGGCTGCAATGAGGAAGTCTGCCCAGGATGTTCAGAAATTTATGGATGCTGTGAACAAGAAAACAAATGCTCAGTATGCACAAAAAGGTGAGCGTGTGGGAGCTTCTCGGGGCTGACAGATGTGGGCTGGCACCTGCATGTGCCCTAAACGTGGTCTTGTTTGCATCTTACACCTGTTGGCTTCCTTCCTGAAAAAAACCCAACTGTTTTTTCCCTGCTGGAAAAACCTTTTTACAGAAGCACAGCATGGTGGGGCTCTGGACATCACCCAGTCCAACCCCTGCTGGGGTCATCCAGAGAAGATCACCCAGGAACACATCCAGGGGTTTGAATGTCTCCACAGAAGGAGACTCCACAGCCTGGGCCGTGCTCTGTACCCTCACAGTGAAGAAGATTTTCCTTCAGAGTTTGGACCGCCTGTGTTCCAGTTTGTGACCATTGCTCCTTGTCCTGTCGCTGGGCACAACTGAGAAGAGTCTGGTCTCATCCTGACCTCCCCTTGGGATATTGATGAGCGTTAATGAACCCCCCCACTACGTCTTCTCCAGGCTGAACAGCCTCAGCCCTCTCAGCCTTTCCTCCCATGGGAGATGCTCCAGTTCTCCCATCATCTTGGTGGCTCCACGCTGGGGTCTCTCCAGTTGTTCCTTGTCTCTGGTCACAGCTGTTTCCGTCTCTGTTTGAAGATTTTACTAAAACTGTGATGCAGTCTTAAAAGGAAAGCTCACAGAAAAGTCAGAGTGTACATTTTGAGAAGGAAATTCTGAGGTGATGGTTTCCTCCAAGGTCATGATTGTGAAGCTCAATGAGAGCATGAAGTGCTTCTTCCACACAGCCCAGCCGGATGAGAGCCATTCTGGAGTCTTTCTGGAAGAATCTGAAGGCTTTCACAGTTGATCCAGTACTTGCAAAAAGCTTCTTTGGATCATCAACAGTAACAGAAGATGGAATATTGGAGAGATGCAGGGTAGCAGATGTAGGAAAGATGTTTCGGAAGTTCTTAGAGCCAGGCTTCTTATAGCGATGTAAAGGGCTGTTGCTGTATGTTGCTCCTCTTGTCCTGCATGAGGAATCATAGAATGGTTTGGGTTGGAAGGGACCTTCAAGCTCATCCAGTCCAGCTTGGCCTTGAACACCTCCAGCGAGGGGGCAACCACAGCTTCTCTGGGCAACCTGTGCCAGGGCCTCAGCACCTCACAGGGAAGGATTGCTTCCTAATATCCAGTCTAAATCTCCCCTCTTCCAGTTCAAAACCATTCCCCCTCGTTCTGTCGCTACCTGCCCTTGTAAAAAGTCCCTCCACAGCTTTCCTATAGGACCCCTTCAGGAACTGGAAGGCTGCAATAAGGTCCCTTTGGAGCCACCTTCTCCAGGCTGAACAGCCCCAACTCTCAGTTGGTCCTTGTAGGGAGCTGCTCCAGCCTCTGATCATCTCTGTGGCCTCCTCTGGACCTGCTCCAGCAGCTCCATCTCCTTATATTGGGTGCCCCTGAACTGGATGCAGTATCCAGGTGGGGTCTCACCGGAACAGAGGGGCAGAATCCCCTCCCTTGATCTGCTGGTCACATTTCTTGTGATGCAGCCCAGGATAGTGTTGTTTTCTGGGCTACAAGTGCACATTGCTGGCTCACATTGAGTTTTTTATTGACCAGAACCCCCAGATTCTTCTCCTCGGGATTCTTCTCATCCATTCTCTGCCCAGCCTGGATTTGTGCTTTGGATTGCCCCAAGCTGAGCTGTTGAACTCTTTGATGTTTTGAAAAAGTAGCACAGAGGACCCTTCCATAAAGCCCCTGTCCACTCAAGTGGTCCATAGCTGTGTAAGCCTGGGTTGTGTTTGCCATCTGAACTGAAGCATTTCCTTCTTAAACGTGATCTTCACACGATGCACATCACCATACACCCCAAATAGGATTAAAGGTCCCTGTGGTGTGATGGCCTCAGAGTTGATGTTGCTGACAAATAAAACAATTTCCTGGAGCAGCAGTAAGGCCAGGAACAGTCATCTGTCCAGACACTGCAGGTGTGGGGACTGCAGGAGAACCAGGATCCTCTCCCTTGATCTGCTGGTCACACTTCTTTTGATGCAACCCAGGATGGGGTTGGTTTCTGGGCTGCAAGCACGTGTTGCCAGCTCATGTTGAGTTTTTCATTGGCTGGCGCCTGGAGTCCTTCTCCTTTGGACTGCTCTTGAGCCATTCTCTGCCCAGCCTGGATTTGTGCTTTGGATTGCCCCTACCTCTCTTCTCTGCACTGATCAGACCACACCTTGAGCACAGAATTTCCTGGAGCAGCAGTAAGGCCAGGAATAGTCATCTGTCCAGACACTGCAGATGTGGGGACTGCAAGAGAACCAAGTGCTCCAGGAAGAGCTGGAACTGAAAGACCAGAACCTTGAGCAAAGCCCATGCCTGAGGTGTACCCAGCAGCCCCTACATGTGATGGGAGGATCATATTTTGGGTGCCAAGAGCAGCAGTTGTGTCCAGCGGCCTACAATGTGTGTATACAAATGCATGCAGTCTTGGAAACAAACGGGAGGAACTGGAGCTCCAAGCCCAGTCAGGAAGTTGTGATATCATAGGAATAACCAAAACGTGGTGGGACAACGACTGGGGGGTCGTGATTGATGGCTATAGGCTAGTTTGTAAAGACAGGCATGGTAGAAGAGCAGGAACCGTTGCACTCTGTTAAGGAGAACCTTGAATGTAGAGAAGTTGACTGTGGTAACTGTGGAAGCCCCACTGATTGTGTCTGGGTCAAAATCAGATGGGTCGTCTCCAAGGGCATCTGTTACCAACCCCCAAACCAAGACGAGACCAACGAAGCAATACTTAGGTAAATTAAGCAGGCTTTGGGTCAACCAAACCTGGTTCTTATCACAGAATCCCAGACCGTTAGGGATT